AGTCATTGAATGAGTCATTCAAGATTTGATGATTTTATGGCATTTGTGAAGAAAAAATTTCATGAATCAACATTTTCGTCGCTCAAAAGTTAAGAAACTAAGATTTTCTCCAACTTGCAAAATTTGTTGTACATATTTGAAAAATTCTTAAAGGTAATGTTGCCTCAAACAAATTCTTATTGATTAACCAGAAAAAAGTTAGGAAAAAAAGATTTTTTTTGTTCACAAATACTGTAAAGGGGGTAATTATTCACTGGGTTTTAATTTAGCTTATTTCGCTGACTGGAAAAATGCGCTAAATTAAAACACAGTGAATATGTAAAATTTAGCATAGAACACATTATCTAAATGACGAAACCGTGAATTTAAAACCCACTGAATATGCCAAAAATGGTAAATCAGTGAAGTTTAAACCCAGTGAAAATTAGTCATTTTACAGTACTGTATCTTGATTGTTAAGTATCATGGATACTGCTACGACATCTTGGCAAGCTACATCCTTTGTAATTGACAAGGACAAATCTAATCTCTTACATACTATGAATACTGGAGAATAAAAAAAAAAATGTATTTCCGGTGGATCCATGGAATTAGTGTCCCTGTCAATGTCAATTTATACACTAGATAAATTCAGCGGTTAAAATTCAATTCTGTTGAGAATCAGTCACGGTTCAAACTAACTAAAGCGATTATTATCATGCATTCAGCGAAGGATTCTGAATATCGAGGCAATGTCTGATTTCATAAACAAGTGTTGTTCACAGACATTTTTAATTTGTTGATCATAAAATTTTTTAATTTTTTTTTTTTAAATCTAGTAATAAATTTGGATATACCGAGTAGTCATAAATCAAAATTGGGGAATTAAAAAATTGAATCTAAATTTTAAATCTAAAAATACAATCACTGTATTTGCGTTGCTAAAAGCACATTTCAAATAGAAAGACATACCCCGGTGCATATAAAATAAAAATTGTGTTTGTTGTATACCGAATCATTAAAATATTACCTATTTTGACCATAAACACCTCTGTAATGAGATGTGCTACTAATAGAACAAATATGGTAATTAATTAATTAAATGCAGTCAATTGCTTGTTGAAATTTGCCCTTTCACATACATTTATTTTGATAAAATCCTCAAATTAAGTGGTTCAAAATTTTTATTGAAAACAGCTATTAATCTTAATATTAATTGAATTTATAATATATTCATATTTAAATTTTTGGGGGAATTTTTTAAATCACACTTATTTCAGAAAATGTCATGGCGACACAAGTATCATCATGAATTATTTAACCATACATCTGGTATGTACCAAATTACAAAATTATTAATGGTATTTTCGTATTTAATAACTAATCAGCTCTAGGCAACTATGAAACTCCATATGGTCAGGTTAAATATATCTCTAAGAACGGAATAAAAGTAACTATGCTCTCCAATTCACACAAAAACACAAAATATTGATTATAATACATAGATATGTATTTAACTACAAAGTTCAAATCATGAAAGACAATTCTATTAATTATTTTCTCTCTCTCAAATATTGTATTTAAATATACACCTACACTACCAGAATAAATGAAAGGGTACCAGGATTTGATTGGTTTCAACTTTTACCCAGAAATTATAGCTATAAGACTCGCACATCATCAGTGAAATGTAGAATAGCTTTGATATAAAGCAAGCTGCCTTATTTAGTTAACATGGGGCATCGGCGCATACACAGAACTATTATTAAAAGGAATGTCACTGATCCGCGATTGTCAAGTAATTACATTACATGCACCCTACTGATTCACCTCATGCAAAAATTAGTTAGAATCTTTTTTACATTACAAGATGTCAAAAATACTCGAAATTCCCATATTAGGAGTTCATATCTAAGGTCATTTACCTTATTGTCTGCTCGGTTTGACAGTGTTTCTCGCATACTTTGCGATAACAACACTTCCTGTCGTAATCGCAGCTTACCAAAGGCAACAGCTCCACTTGTTACGACCATCATTTCATAGCCTGCATTCTGCAACTCTGCTACCTGTGAACAGGAAAATGCGTGAAGAAACAAAATTGAGTTTACTTTTTATATGTAATTTTACAATTTCAAAACACAAGGTTGAATTAATAGAGTATTAAACCCAGCTTCAGACAGACTCAGACTTGTAGGCAAAATGAAATTGAACTGTATTACAGTACACCTGGTTTAATGATCATTCATTTAAATTCTCATCAAGCTACCTCCCTCTGAAGCAACTTACCCCCCTATAGTACTGATTTTAGCTACAAGACAAGTTACAAGACAACCAGTGGTTGCTTAGCAACCAAGCTATTTGCAGCACAACTACATCACTATATAGTCACTGCATCCTTGTTTCATCAAAATCGGCCATTGCTAAAATTTGGAGTGGAACTAGGACAATTAAACACACAGACAAGGCAAGACAAGAATAATTGCAAAGCCAATTTAGCTTTGCTCTTGGACTTTCAAACCCCCCCCCTCCCCCTCTCTCTCCACAGCAAAGGAAATACATTTCCTGTGTTTTAAAATACATTTTGTACCATCAGTGCCCCTGATGTAATTAAGATGTTAAATACAAGTTTATCACAGGTTATTGATTTGACTTTCAAAATATGTAATTTCTTGCTTATACCAAGAATTGAAAGTACAAACATATTGGTAGTAAGAACAATTATATTATTAAAAAGAAATTTACAAAATTTCAATAGTTTTTTTTTTTTTATATACCCCTCCTGTATAATGGCTGTGCTTGTCAATGACCTTCACAGCCTACACTGTATTTACAGAATGGAATGTTCTGCTTTATCAATAATTACATTTATGGGATCTTAGCACCTGAATATTTTTAATCCCTCATGTTTGCAGAGGAATTACTTTACATCCTCATACACCTGTTTTTCCTTCCTTGTTGAGCTGTGAGCATGAAACAAAATGGCATCTTCGCCCTGTATGCTATTGCTAAATAAGTGCTCTTAATTTGCCATCCAACCATGCCTTTCTTGAGAAACTAATTGCACTTCCTTCCATCACCATGTCATGTTTTGTTTTAGTTCACCACTGTGGGCATGATTATGATTCATGCCGAGTCTTCAGGCAGCTAATCTCAGTGTGTGACGAGTTTTGATCCCAGTTTGAGATTTGTTCGGCAAGGGCAGCTGGGTCCAACTTACAACACATTTGTCGATGTCAATAAACAATTTTTCTGTTATTTATTGCTGTTGTGGGAGTGAATACAACAAACTTAAATATATTATTAACCATACGTTTTTGTTTTTTTTTAGCTGAGACTTTTATACCTATCTGCTCAAGTTGGTCATTTGATTCTCCATTATCATACGCATAGCACATAAATTACTATTATTGTTACTATTACTAGTTATTTTTTGGAACAAAATACCTACTCACAATATTTTGGCGCATAACCTGAACAAAAATTCTTACTGTTATGTTTAATCACAAAGATATTGGTAATACTAATAGTTGGTAATGTTCCGAAGCTGAAAATGACCATGTGTATTTTTGCTCACTTGCAATGACGATAACAAATACTTTTTTAAATAAAAATTGTGCGCCATTCAGCTGGGAGGGAGTATATGAAAGGCGCGTAAACACAAAAGAATAATCAGCTTGAAACAAAAAACTCAAGTAGGATTAAAACCAGTTCAGTCTCCTTTTTTTAGCTCCATGGTCTGTGAGAATGCTGACCCAGAGCTTATACCTGTATGCTTATTTCCACTGTGAGGGGGGCATTGACAATGTATATTGATGTTTACCCAGTAAATGTAATTAAAAATATGTGATATCTAATTATTGATCAAGGGCATTGATAAGCAGAACATTCCATTCTGTAAATAGGTGGCAAAGGTCATTGTCATGGAAAACAGTTCCCTGTACAGGAGGGGGTAGAATATTTTACATTTTGTGAATTTCTTTTTAATAATATAATTTGTCCTACTCCCTACAAACCATACATTTAGATAATAGCCAGGCTATTTAATAAATAAACAAATCTTCACAATCGGCAGAAACATTTATTCATAGACAGTGAAGTTTATCCATACATATATGTCCTAATTAGAAAAACAACAGAATGTTAATTAGCACCCACATGACTGTTTATTGACACTGGTGGGTGTGGGCATCTATAATCCCACCAGCTGGTTTCAAAAATATCCTGAATAATTAACACTACTGCATGGCTTTGTGACAGGATTTGTTGTTATACTGGCTAATGTTGACAAATCTGGTAAATATTGTAGGTAATTTTTAGTTATCTCTGTTTCCTCCATGCTTTGAAGCCAGAAAAGAAACCCTGAACTTACTTAGTGTACAACCTATGCACACATCAATGTGTACATCAAATATGAAATATATTCATGAGAATCCAGTAGTAAAAATAGCATGCAGAAATAATTGTTTTATTACACAAAACGATCAAATGTATCAACTGTAAGGAAGATATGAATGCAATGATCTCTGCTGTAGTGCTACTCATTTTTGGTATGTCTTTCTCCAAAAAAAAAAAAAAAAACTTCACCCACAAATAACACAACAAAATCAATATATGAAGTACAAGGATTTCTCTACCATTCTGTCAGTACATTACTATGATATTTTTTTGTTTTTTTATATGTATTTTAGATGTGTTTGTTTCCACATGTTTTGTCCTTTGTTTATCAGACAAGAGTTTCTCTTTGTACGATATAAAGGAAACATATCAGTAAAAATTACACTTTCTCCCACTTATATGTCAAATTTTAGGGTATTATTATAAAGTATTAAAAATGCAACAATACAGACTAATATGGCTTGTATATTGTTGAAGAAATAGGAAAAAACGTCAAAAATCAGTTTTTTTTGGGGGGGCAAGATGTTAGGCCTTGTATTTGTTTATGTTTTGTCTTAATGTAGTAGGCATGAAGTTTGATCATGTCAGGGCTTATGCAAAATTGTACCTAAGGTAAGTAGCTTTGCAAAATTTTTATTTCTGCCTTGTATGTAATCATAGACAATCAGATTTGTCCATATTATCACCCATGAATATATTCCATATTCAATGATTTTCAACATATTTGAATGTTATCGATTATATTAACAATTTTTCATTTGAATTTTTCCTTAAAATTTTATGTTATAACTCATTTGAATTATAATTTGGCTCAGAGAGTATGGATTTCTAAAAAATTGCTTCAGTTTTGAATCACTCAGACCTCAAATATTTAATTTCATTTCAGATTTGTTCAAGCATGTTTATTAATGCTTTTTATCTGATTGTAAATATTTTAATAATCAATAATATTAAAATTTGTATTTGGCTTTGCCTGTGTCACATCTCAAGTAAATATCTCCCTAACCTCTCTGAACTGATTTCACATGGTTTTTACTGATTTCAATGTTGAATTATGCACGTGACATCACATGTAAGAACCTCCCTAACCTCCTTGTATTTACCTCACGTGAGAGTCGCCTCATTTGCATGTTGAATTCCCTGTGTGTGTGATCTCACATGAGTCTCTTTACTGATCTCACGTGTGAGATTGACCTATTTTGCATGTAGAAATAATTGGCAACAGCTTGGGGAGTCCATAACAATAACACTTATACTGGTAGTTTATAATAAGAACATCCCAGGTAAAGGGCTTTCAATTCCCAAATATACTTTATTGATTTCGGAAAGATTATTTTTGTAATTCTGATTAGAGACAAAAAAAGCCACTGTTGTTTAACATTGCTGTTGGGGGAGGGACATCTGTAAACCTAAAATAAACAAGGATTATTACCATTGTGTATTTTAGGTAGCATAAATAATGATTATGTACTGGGTAAGAAGACTGGAAATAGAATAATCCAGAGTGACAGCAGAGTTGATCTTCATTGGAAGTGTTACCATCCAGTGCTACAACAGATTCTTTCAGTTTTCTGAACGAGTAACTCAGTTTTACTAAACAATTTTAACATAATTACATGGCCTGTATGTTTATGTTTATGACTATCACAGTCCCTCTATCAGTGAGGGACTGTGTGACTATGTATAGTTCACAGTGCTCCAGTTCCCATAAATAACAAGAACTGGAGAAATCACGAAAGAAACTAAGCAATCCCTCCTAAGAAGAGGATTACTAGTATTCATTATATGGAGCAGTTGGGTGAACGAAAATGCCACCCAACCTGCAGTATTGCATTACAACTTCGTGAAAAATAGCTATATTTATAGTTAAAATGTTGGCTGGGTTGTTTTGTTGTTCTCAGTAAAGACCATTTAACCATGATTTAACCAAACAATCAATTAACATATATTTAATCACTACAGTGTCAGTTGCTGTTGTTTGTTGCACTGTGCTATAATTTGTCAAAGTAAATTCGTTATGTAAGCAGTGTATACATTTTTTTTTTTTAATCAAACTCTGTGAAGATGCTGATTATTAGAATTTTGGAAGGGTATATAGTACACAAAATGTGCATACTATTTTGTGTAAATGCAGAATTATTTACCCAATCCAACCACCACCCTGACCCCTAGGTCCTAGCCCCCATTAAAGTTATAATACCTGTTCAATGATGGATGCCAATCTTCCAAGAGCAAGACCACATTCATCGCCGCGAGTAAGTACAGCACTTCCTAGCTTGATTACAATCTTCTTGCATTTTGACAGCTCCGACCTGTATGATGCGGCATCCTGCCAGAGTACGGAACTAGATGCAAATGACCTCACGTGTGGTGGGTACAATGGAAGCGGGTACGAGTTCCGCCTGGAACAACTATAGAGCGATCTACAGTTTGAGACAGTCCTTGTGATATTATTATGGCTATGTTTTATAATATGCGGAGCAGCAGGGAATAATTTCAGTTGTCCACATTTCAGAAGGTTTAGAGTTGTTGTAGCTGCCATTTTGACTTTCGGTTTAAAGTCACAAGACGATATGTGATATACCGGTCGATGATGATCGATGGAAAACGGCTACCTTCACTTTGAGATTACCTTGTTTGTTTCCGTTTCTATCTCACGTATGTATAATACCCGCAAAAATTAATGAATGGGTCTGAGTTGAAGCCGAATTGCGATGATATATTGGCGCGCATCTGACGACGTATTCTTGCTCTAGCACATAGTCACGTCGAGCTGAATGAATTATGTTAATAGGTGGATCAGAAGAGATCATTCAAAGGTAATGGTACAGACTATAGCGAAATAAATGCCGATATTGCCACAAAACGTAACCACGTTAAACACACGCCTCGTCAAACCATTACTAGCCAGCCATGCAGCTAGAGAGTGACTGACCTGAGACTCTGTGACCTTTCAACCTAGATGATGAAATCTGGAAGAGTTCACTTTTGCTGGGTGGAGAGAAGGGAGACGTCATAGGGGTGTAGCATTTATAGCATTTAGAATCGCTTATATGGCTTGACAATCTTTTTAAAAAGAAATATAGACATAAAACAATAAGATATCGTTAATTATTAAATAATATAATTACAAAACACATAGAGAGTTTGTTAAAAAAAACTGTAACCCGCACTGCGTCTAGCAAGGTCCCCAGAAATTTCAAACGGTCTCGATGAAACTGCATTGTACTTGTTTCTGGCTGACGTCTGGTCTTCTGAACTTTGAATCACGTTCCAGTCACGGATTTTGTCACACATGTGTTCCACGACACCTATATGTGTCACCAGACATTTGTAAAAACTAATCAAATATGTGGGAGGTAGTTTCTTTTGCGCCGCGCGACAATGCGGCCCCGTATAATACTCCGTATTTCCGACATTGATTTGCTACTAACCTGGGTAGATGCAGGGCGGGCGGGGGGGCTGGGTACTGTTTCGAAACCAGAGAAGAAAAATTGAAAACAATAAAATCTGCTACCTTAAGGTCAGGTTCACGCATTAGTAATTTTAATATTTCACCAACACAAATATGATAACAATTATTTATTGTACTTTAAATTATTTCGTTTGTCAGTTTCGTTGTTTTTCTTTGCTTGATTTTTGTTTTCATTTCTTTTTCTTTCTTGGCAACTTCTTAATTGCATTGTATTCAAAATCCTAAAAAAAACACGAACGCAATAAAAATTATTATATGTATGTGCCACGATACCCAAAAAGCTTTACATATTTCTGAAAAGAGGAACCACATTTTTTAACTGGGTTTTATTTTCATTTAGGAGGTAGTGGTCGCCTGGTCCTCTGGTCTATGGCTGAGCGATAACTAAACAACAAAATCGAGAAGAATAGTTGTAAAACCAATTAGAAGTCATATTCTTTAGAGACCATGTCTGGCAACGGATGATGCCTACCAAAGACGCTTGTTTCCATGGTAACTAAACCCCGATCTTTTTCTAAACATATGGGGTTGATTCTTGTCTCAAGAGCAACCTTTCCCGATGAAAAAAAAATACATGAAAATTCTGTATAAAAGGTGCGAGGGATTGTTTTTTTTTCCAAAAAAATCCAAGAACACAAAAAAAAATTTACAACAATTGACACACTTATCCACAAGGACAGAGGGAAAAAAAGACACCATAGTATACATGAAGTGATGTCATTTATTTGGGAAATAAAGAGCACATCTTTCTACGCATGCGGAACATACCATATGTCACGTTGAATCTCTGACGTCTTAGAGAATTTGTAATAACAGAAAATGAAAAAAAAAATGGTTTGGTCCGAGTGTAAATATGTGCGTCAAATGAGGGCATGGACCTGGAACCAACTGCTATGCCATACTATACTGTACGAGTATCAATTTGTATTTAATGGTGAATGTAGTCTGACGCCATGATCAATATGTATCAATTAAGTTTCAGTGGGGTGGGGGTGGGGACTACATTGAACTTATGATGTTGACCCTAAAAGGCCTGTCGTTCTCTACAAAACCCTTGGTGTAATAGTCTTTCATTTCATTTTAGTACAGTTAAGATACTGTTGCCATGGGAGTAACAATTTTGGGAATGAATTTTCATTTATAACTCAAAAGGTTACTGATAGATTTTCATGAAATTTCCAGAAGGGGATTATCTTGATACGAGCACGAGCGCAACAAATTGCTGTATAGATACGTGCATATAGTTACCATAGATACAGTAATTTCGGTTTATTTTGTCATTATATTCATCAGAAGAGGTCATCACGAGGAGAAATCGATTATATTCGTTTCCATGGACAACTATTATTTTCCATTGATAACTCGAACAATTTTATATGTTTTCGGGAGAAACTGCATTTGATTCAATGACCATTGAATCCATTAAAATGTTAGTAGAGAATAAAAAAATGTCAAAATGTAGAATATTCCCGTATTGTATCTCATTCCTACATGCACGAAAGCATGAAATTCGATTTAACTTTAGATTAACATGTGATTGATATATTTCTGTGTAAAATACAATTTGTTTTTGTTTACAAATTTGTTTTTGTTAAATTTTAGTATCGGTATTTTTTCTACCGGGAGTGTGTCATACCGGGATTTTGTCATTATTATTCTTTGACATTCACTTTCCCTCACGTCATGAGACGGCGAGTATGCCGGTAGTTACTAGTTGCTATTTCACACGTTCACCCACATGCCCCACCTTTCTGACACTCCCATTGTGATTTGTTAGTATCCACGCGCCTAGCCGCTACCCCTTTTGACACCTTTATGGTTGGTTGTTTATGCCATGGAAGGTACTGTTTACGCCCACAGTCAGCAGTGTTCACACTTCACGAACAGACGCGGCGGAACGAAATTTTGCATTGGGCTAAGATTTAAGCTAATCTCATATGTTTGCATATCGGATAGACCCAACTGCGTTCACACACGAGAGGAGACAGTGGTTAGCACGGGCTAAGAAACGCCCAAACTTGTTAAGAATATATAAAAATATTCAGTCATGTCAACTATGATTATTCAGTACAGTAACTATGACTACTAACTATATACATGTAAGTTCTACTGTTATAAAACGATAACAAGGAAAATTCAGAAAGTGCATATTGAAGAATAACAGGATGTAGCACAGACTATCATCATCAGTTCATTTTTTCTCGTGAACAATATGTCTTGATATCTCGGATATGGCATACAGAAGTAAATAGTTACGAATTTAATAGTAAATCTTCCAAATGGACATTAAATACAATGAAATAGTAGTTTATAAATAAATAAACGCTGCTCGGACTGATAAATATGATATATAGAAGATAATATTTGGTAATCGTAGTCCTAAATAACTATTAAAAATAGCTAGACGTTTCGAGCAATGGCTCTGTATCGATAGCATAGAAGAAAGTGTAATAACGTACAGGTAGAACATAGGAACGTAAGAACGCGCATGAACTATAAGTTAGAATCACAAAAAAATCCACAATAGAACAAATAACGCGCCTTAGGGAGTGAGCTCAACAAATGAGTTGAACTGTTTGTTAATACCATGGGGTTCTTTAGTTCCAAGGCGGAATATAGTTTCCTCCTCGACACGCCTGAGCTGATTTTCGTTGCCATTGACAACACATACACCAGAAATAGACATATCTGTAATATTATGTCCACTAGAATTAAAATGAAGTGAAACCGGATAATAACGATTTTTCTGTCTAGTTTGCCGTAGATGCTCAGCAAACCGATCACCCAGTCGACGAACTGTAGAACCAATGTAAAGTTTCAATGAGTTAAGCGTTCACGCACACTTCGCGTAGCCCGTGCTAAGGATCTAGGCCGGGTCATAAAAATAGCCACGCTACTTGTGTTCATGCACCGTCCCTTGAGGGACGGTGGTTTATGCCAAGCATAGCATAACTTTCTAACCTAGTTTTATGTTTATTCAAGTAGTTTATACATTCACGGTTACTAGAAGTAACCGCGATACATTCCATTACGGTAACCCTGGAATCAGCAAAAAGTAGAACAAAAAATTATCGTAGCGACACTAGTTAGTTGGTCGAATACTAGTATCTTAGCATAGACTTTAGACAGCCGTCTCGTCCACGGAATGCTCCTTTTTGTCAGAGCACCGTAAGCGCTGTTTGTGTGCATTTTGTACAAGTAAGCTATTTCAAGTTTTATTTACTGGCGTGGAGGGTTTTATAAGTTGGGCGCCTGTTTATGTCCTATATCTGAAGTCTTGTCCAGAAATGCTTTGACCGATTCGGTTCAAACTTGGTACAATAAAATGTCATAGTCAATATATGCACGTCAACTTTTTTTTATAATCGAATCGTTTTGAAACTAACAGTAACAATGTGAACATTGCTTGGACATGCTGATTTACTGAAATACGTTATGTTATGTTTCGATTCAAAAGAGGCCGACTGGAGGACATTTTGTTTTTTCAAGTTGGTTTTACACCTCTGGGGTCATTACTCAAAGCTGGTTGTAGTTGAAAAAAGCTGCTTTTTCAAATTGAACAAAAGTGATTTGTGAATTTGTTGAGAAACGATGATACTGACATGAGAATGATTTTTCTAATGTCCACTGTTTAATGCTGCTGTCCTAGCCTCAGACTAGTTACAATTACTAGTCTGAGTGCTAGCTGATTCTTGTGAGACTTTGGGTGCTCTTACTCCCCAACATACGATTATGGTCCGATGGTCACTTGTTATAACATGCATTGCCCAATGTGTATGATGAGTTGACCTTTTTCATTTTTCACAATTCAAAATATCCGAATATTGGCGTTTTTTCTCGTGTTTTTGTAGAATGCACCTACATACATAATATTTGAGACATACCTAGAGGAATACTTCAACCTTTGTATTACTATATCATGATATATATATGGACATTCTGTCATCCTATCGATGATCCCTGCTGGCGGCATTATTATTATTATTATTACACTGTACTTAAATAAACTACACTCAGGCATTTTGAAATGTCTGAAATCATTTCACTTCCCAGAGATCCTTGCGGCCAGAATACCGAATATATTTGCAGAAATAGAACTCTGCCTGGGAGATTGATCGGTCAAAATGCCCCTCCCCCCTAATAATTTCGTTGAAAGCGTTATACAACATAGTATACCATTCTATTATCAATAACATTAGTAGAAGTGCGACATATGTTAATGAGTTTGTTACATTTCAATAAATTTCAATAATTCATTTCAATAAAGTGACTTTCATTCAATTGAACTGGCATAGAGATCCATGGAGAAGCAACACAATAATGAAAAACTGCGTGAAATATATTTGGTGTTTGAAATTTCTTTTTGAAAACGAGAATAAAATCTAATTGATGGACCATGGATTTTATTTCTTGTGATAAAAAATGTATTTCAATAATTAGAAGCCATCACACCTCTTGTAGTTTCATAAATCAGCACAGCTTTATGCAATTGTTTACGATTACGAAGGGACAGTCACTCTAGTTGTTCGAACATATCATTCCTGTGTGACCTATTTGCCAGTCCACAGTTTTATTCTCGCGGCTCTGCTTTGAAGGATTTGTCATTTATCAAGATCACAATTGTCAAACAGAGGCAGAACAAACTATTAAACGTGGTCACTAAACATGGTCTCTAAACTCCTAGATACACACTACCATTTTCGTCACATAACACCGATTGTTGGTGAAATCTGATTACTTATTGGCTCGATATTAAGTTCTTCACATGTATGATTAGAGACAACTCCTAAATAATGTGTACACACCTTATTTATAATTCGACTTGATCGAAGTTTGCTACCATTTGTTTATAGTCAATAGTCGTGAACTTTGTTTCAGTGGCATTTAGACTGAGCCCATGAGCAGAGAAATATTATGATGACAATGTAGAAAGTTCAGTATTAACCTTGTCTTGGAGGTCAGATGGTGTTGCTGAGACGCAGGCGAGTGCTTTATCTTCTGCATATATATTAATGTCTGATGGACAATGATTTATTGCGAAACTCTAACTTATCAGGTGGTATAGTATAGTTTATCGAGTTGTAAATCAAAAGTGTTAATTGAAGTAACACTTGAAAGTGGCCTTGATTACATTTTTGTCTGGAAAAGATGGTATCACTGTGTTTTGGAACCCCTTTGGTAGACAAAATAGATATTAATATTTCAGACAACCTGTTGTTTGAACATGTATATGGTCGAGCGATAAATCTAGCTTTGGTATCTAAGTTGGACAAGTCAATCATTTTATTCTTTGATAGGAATGTTAGTTGACTTCTACAAGAATATCCTTTTTGCTGAATGTTAGGTGTTTTTAGGTAGAATTATTATTTCCAGTGAGTTATAAATAAATAATTGTTGTATTATTCCATACCGACATGCAATCCCAGGAAAAATTCATTGGTGTTACACTGTTTTGGGTTCACGTGGAGGTGTATTACCAGTTCAAAATAATGTCAGGGCATAATCTAATCGGTGTTCAGCTCAAGGCGACACTGACACCCATGAACTACTCAGACGGGTGAACAGAACACAGGCTCAGTGTCACTGATAAGGAATGTTCACAAAGCAAGTCATCGGCTCATCAGCACGTGTACGTGAGCTATGATACTGTCTATAATCGCCAAATTTATCATCACACGGCCTACGTCGTGCCTCTCTTACAGCAACATGTCCCCGTTTTTTGGAATACAAATATACTAGTAAACGGATTTCACACAGTATCACCGCTATGTAAACAAATCTACCATTCAATTGCACCATCCTCGTAATCCCCGGACTTGCAGGGACAGAAGACACGTAGTCCCCCATACAATCCCTGCTTCCCCAGGCAGAGAATATGTACGTAGAACTTACAGGTTATAGGCTTGTTGAAATCTGGCACGATTTTCAAGTTCTTTCCTTCTCTATATGTGTGTGTGTGTGTGTACATAATTATATTCTCACCGCTATGTATTGTTTTGTGTATTATTGTGGATTGCATTTCACTGGCAGACACCAAGGATTTTGAATACATATTTCTTGACTCTTCAGGTCTGCATACTTGCTACTTTTAACTGCCGTACTTCTGTATACCGTATACCCCATAGTCTACGGCTTTACGTACATTGTGCAGCGATGAGCCCTAGCCAGAATTTTAAACACAGTTTTAGTGAGTGATTCAAATCATATTACAGTGTGCATTTATAATTGTTTTCAAGCATTGTTTTACTGAGATCGTGGCTAATATCAGCTGACGTGTGTGCCTCTCGTATGTCTCTATGGAAAGATTTCGTAACGGTTGTCTAAAGTAGAAGTTTGCATTAACGTTATGCGCATTGACATGTTATGATGTCCATGCACAATACTGTGATGCCCATTCACCATGATGCTCATTTACTATATGCAATACCGTTATTATATGTTATATGAGACCATTTATAGAATAAAGTAATAATTGTCATTATTTAAAAAATAATCATCTTTCACAACAATATCATATGTTTATATATCATGCATTTACATGATCGAGTTATTTCTTAATAATAAATGCTTACATGATTGTTGTTTCTAAATTGGAAAACTCAACAATTTAATCATTGCCCTCGTGTTTTCGCTGCAGCGCCCCCAACTAGAACTACACAAACATAGATTTTAAGTGCGCTCACGAGAAGAAAGAACCTCACGACCGTACGGCTATTTGGAAATGTGAAAAAACGAAGGTTTTACATTTGTACATTAAAATCGCATAGATATTATCAGCACCCCTATTTCCCCCGAAGCATATTGGTTAATCTCTTAGCGCGTTTTGAATCATTTGATTGGTTGAGCCACCGAGGATGCAAAGGTCATGACAAAAAATGGCTGCCCCCATGGAGGAACATGCTGCAGTCCCGGGTGACATCGGGAAAGATTGCGGAGATAGAAGTCCGGATTGCCGACGATCGAAAGGTAGTTGAATAATTGGTATTATTGGGGAAAGAGTTCCTTTTGTACTCCCATCCCTAACCCTAAACCCTACCTTCCAGCACTCTCCATTTAATTGTACATGCCCCTCCTTAGGACATCTAATACATCTGCAGTTATCTAGAGGGGGCATATACAAATGAATTGGATAACTGGGAGTGAGTGTTAGAGTTAGGGAACTCTTGCCAAAAATACATGTACTATATGTACCGTCCCGAGTAGACCTGGCTTCTGCCAAACTGTCCGTTTGGGGCAGTACAATTTGTGTGTATGTGTTGGGGGGGGCGTGATTCACAGTCGTTGGTGGCTGAAAATGTGTTTAATTAGTGGCACTTTTAGTACTAAACTCGTTGTGTCTTCTGCTGCCATACTGCAGATTATCTTGCCACGTACATATGCATCGCATCATACTAAAACAGTGATAAAACTTATTCATTTCAATAACAAGATACAATTTCAGTTTCTGGTTTGTCTTGAATATTTTTCTATGTAACGCAGCTCTTTTTTTTTTTTTACAGGGAAAAGGCGTATTTGCTAAGCAACGTTTCAGAAAAAACGATGTAATCTTCCGAGAGAAACCAATAGTATGTGCCCAGTTTTTATGGAATGAGTATTACAAGTATTCAGCATGCGATCATTGTATGAAATCATTGGAGACAGCGGAGGAGATGGCGCGACGGTTGTCGGCTATTTCGTCACTTGTACTTCCATATCCACAGTGTTGTGAAGTAAAAAAAGATGAACATGTGTCATGTCCGGCATGTCAGGTAGGTAACCATTGACCTTTCCTGGAGTTAAACCAGCGATAGCCATGATTTTGAATATTTTTGATTTAAATATAACCAAATTAGATCTCACTAAAATATTTTTTTTAGATACAATAACATGGGCAAAGTGATTGTAGACTAGGTAAACTGCAATGTGAAAACTTAGGATCGAGTAGGCGTCATTTTGTCACTCGGCGTGGACCATTGAAAATTATGATATATGATGCACACTATCATGCAAATGACATTAAATCATCAGAGGGCGTCTGAGTGGCTGTTTACCTCGAAAGATGACAAATGTATTTGACGTTTCTAGTAAGTTTTCACCTTGTAGTGTGAGATTTGACAATATTGAATTTCAATAGATGGTGCACTCTGGAAACCAGGATGCAGCCATAATTTTTCACTAGCAAGTGATTTAATGTTGAACAGCAGTATAGAGCATATGTGCTACGCTTTCAGTGTCCACAGTTCAACAATGATGATTATTTTGTTATAGGTATTATTTGCACTAAAAGCCTACTCATATTTTTTTAGAAAGTTGGTCATAAATCACGTGACAATGTTCACTGGTTTATTATGTAAAATAATGAAGTTATTGTCTCATGGCGCCATGAAATAGCATTCATTTGTGTGTTACAGTGACAGATTTTGAAAAGCTTGACCTAATATTTGTCAAAAACAAGACCATAGAGCTTTTTCGACACTTTCTAAAACCCAGATTTTTTAAATAATTAAGGTCAACAAAAAGTACCTCATCATTCACAATATACATTTTTTTCAACCTATGTCACCAGGCTAGAATTTTAGGTATGGCTTGATATAGTGTCATAGAAACCCATGGTAAAAGTGTTATAATACCGGTAGTGCCAAAATGGCCACTATCCACTAAAATACAACCATGATTTCTCCGTAAATTAAGCTGGTGACTCCTAATTTTTTTTAAGTACTTACTTCCCATAAGTACAATTTATTGGAAAATGAATAATTTCTGGTAGACTTCTACCTTAAGGTGTTTCTGTGGTTAAAATAAGTTTTATTTTAATGATCAAGTATTCAATGAATGCACTATTTGTTATTAAGTATGCTTCTAGACACGCCTTCCAATATGTCAAATGGCTGTTTTTTGTTTTCATATTCTAAAATGTTGTGCAGTATAACTGATTGTATTTCACTTTTATTCATTTCAGACGCAGTATTGTAGCACAAAATGTAAGGAGGATGCAGAAAAGCTATATCACAGAGTGCTGTGCATGGGACAGCATCCAGCAGATCCTGAACACCCTATAGCAAAATTACAAGATATCTGGCGGTAATATAAACTTTCAGACTCTCCAGGCTTGACAAATTACATGATCTACAATACAATATTCTCACATGTACTGCTTAAAAATATTGCATACTAATAAATTACATTTTCCAAACATTGTCGTTTTTTGCTCGATGGAAATATCTTTAATGACATTGTCCCTTGATGTAATGTACAAAACTGAGCACATTTTTCATATTAGTAGTATGTAAATTTTAGTTTAAAGCTCCATAGTGTACGCTCAAACTTAATGTTAAAGGTGCATTTGACACGCATTGTGTACGTTGCATTGGACACACATTGAACTTGATGCATTACAAGAAATAAATCCATCTTATACATGCATACATTTCCATGTACCTTCAATCTTGTTCTTTCAGGAACATGCATTTCCCCCCTGAGACTGCTAGTATTATGTTAATAGCTAAAATGATAGCTAAAATTAAACAGGTAGGTCAAATAGAGTATTGCATAACCAGAGGTTTGTCTGCATAAATATGTGGCATAATATTAAGCATCAAATATTACCATAAATTATAGAATTTTCAGGTTATCCAGAATGAACAATGTTTAGTATGGTGATATATGCAAAATCATTAGGAGACAAAAATATAATGTGCATACAATATTTGTTTTCCATTTTGATTCAATAAGGCTGACCAGTGTCCATAAAAGTTACAGTAACTGAAATGTAAAATGTTGGCATACTTCCAGCAAACCCCCAGTTTGTTCTCAATTGGAGAAAAAGTATTGCTGGCCTTTCGTTTTATAATGCACTTAATGTGTCTGCAACCAATTTTCAGATCTCTCTGTTGACTACATTTAAACTTACAGTGACGACAAAGCTGTTATACACAACTAAAGTTTTCACACATTACATTACTTGTTTATAATTTATGTCTTCACGATGTGCAGGCACCTGATAAATCTGAAGCAGTCGCTGCATTCTCACAGTTTAGAAGAGCTACTGTCAATGAAGAAGCCGATATTACACATAAACTACTTGGAGAGGAATTTCAGGGTGATATAGACATGCTTTTACCATTTCTCAATGAAGCATTGAAAGAAGAAACTGTATCACATGTAAGACATTCAATATTTTATATCTACAAGGATTTATAAGATGGAGGGTATTATGCAAGTGTGAGATGTGCAATTAATATCTCACACAAATTGAAAAAACACAAAATTACACTTGATAAACCTTATCACATCGCCTGCTAAAGTCTCCAGAAATAGCCGAAATGAAAAGTAAGAAATGGTGTCGGCAGGCGATGACAATTTCCAAGCTTCTTCTATATTCTGTGACGCAATTGGTTAGAAATACATTGATTGATACATACAGGTTGGGATCGCTTTTATACACTGGCTATTAATGAGAATTTGTTTCTCGTAAAAACTTCATCGCACGTTATCGTAGGTGGTTATGAAAGTTGCATACCGTTCATCTTATAGCTCCTTGACATCTGTCATACTGATTATCAGTAATTGAAACAAAAAAAATAAAATTCTAATTTTTAAATTACCATTAAAATAGTTCTTTTAATCTGATTTTTCATGAAAATTTCTCTAACAAAAAAAAAACTTAAAAAATTGTGTGATGTGCACATTTTTAACTGATATGCTTGATGATCAGATCAGTCAAAAAACTTTCTGAAATGAAATAGATTTTTAAAAATTAATTTAAATGTTGAGTTTTATATATACTGTATTTGATTTGTTGACAGTGGTTTACCAGTGAAGGTATCAGATCATTATTTGCTCTTATAGGAACAAATGGCCAAGGTGTCGGAACAAGGTAAATAGTGTTCATTTGTTTTTATCAGACAAACCCATAGCTCTCTATTATGTACCGATATACACTTCAGTTCATGTAATAATACATTTCACCATGTAACCTATAAATCACTTTGCAGCACTATATTATCAAACTTGTATGATTATTTTAAATTCTGTATTTTATTTTAGTTCTCTGAGTGTTTATGTACATAACTGTGATGCGTTAGATTTAAATACCGACGACAGACAGCGATTAGATTTATTTATAGACCAGCTGTATGTTGATATTGAGAAAGGTAAGGATATGTATATGTCAATATCTTCACAATCTACACCAATCAGGTTCCACTGATTTATCAATGTGATCTCCCATTTTGGCCATTTTAAGGCTATATTCAAGTTATACATTAACTAGGCTTGTTACATAATGTATGATCAAAGTGAATTCACTAAAAACAAAGTTTAATGACAATTTTTAAATTTGTAATAATAAACTGTATTAAGATTCACATCGAATGTGTATGGTTCCATTTTTATATTGCTAAGGTTGTAGTAGGGTCATAATAAACTGTTGTGATATTGATCTCATTGTTTCGTTTCAGAATCTGGTTCCTTTTTGAACTGTGAAGGCTCAGCGCTTTATTCTCTACAGAGTTGTTGTAAGTCTTGTTTATTTTATTGTGCATATGATTTATAAAACTTGAAAATAGGGGAACTCAACCCATAAGTAATATGAGATATTGCATCATGGTATTATCGGAAGTATAAGTAACTTGTAGCGGTAGCTCTTCTAACAATAAAAATTTGATACATAAAATGCTAATAAATAATCCTTGTGCCATGAGATATACATCAAATTTGAAAGTGTTACACACATGTACTTGCAGGTAACCATAGCTGTGTACCAAATGCTGAGGTAACATTTCCTGATAATGACGCAGCGGTATCTGTGATGGCGCTTCAAGACATTCAGGAAAATGAGGTCAGTAATTTGAAAAAATTTTACTTTCAAGATCTAGTGTTGGTCATCTTTCAAAACAATGTATATTATGGGATACCCATGCACCATAGCAACCAGTAATCTTGATCATTTCAAAGACACCCTTCAGATTTGTATTGTTACCAGGGATCCAGTCTTGAATCACAAAAGTGACAATTTGAATTCAATCACTCACATGAACTTTCTTCTTATCACTTTCCAGGAAATTTGCATATCATATTTAGGTGAATGTGATATTGGAAGAAGCCGACATTCAAGACAAAAAATTCTCAGGTACAAATGAACCAATACATTTTTTATATTTTATTTGACCAATGGGTACAGGGTATGTACATGTGATTAACATAGCGATGACGCTTTGCAGATAGTTATACCAGGTCAGTATATAGAAGTTATCAGTAGTCGCCATTACATAAAAATGGCCGCTTGACTGTAACTTTGTTTGATTTCAGAGAGAATTACTTGTTCAACTGTAACTGTATGAAATGTCAATCACAGTGTGATGATGCTGATGTGACAAGTGATGAAGATGAGGAGGAAATGGAAGAAGATTCTAATTGATCTTTTCTAATTGATGTTTGTGAGTTACAGCCCTGGACAAAAAGGTGTATCCTATGTAGAGTGCTGGTTTTGTTGGTGGCTATAAACTTATTGAGTTGAGCAATATTCCATGGCGATACAATTCAATGTGTACCACCAACTAGCATCATATATACAAAGTAATTTGTTATCTTTGCAAGTAAATGCATTTTAGAATGTATAATACTAAGAAAAATAAAGCAACGTTGACAAAAATGATGCAGATTTTTGAATGCGTGTACAGTCACAAGTTTTGTACAACTCTTAATAACTATCGGTACATGATATTAGCTAATTTTGCACTGGTTATAGTGAAACATTCTATGGTAAATACTTAACTTGCTACAGCCATTTTTCTATCTTTAGGAAAGTAATAATTTTACACTTTCCACAGAAATCGACTTGTCAGTTTTTCCATATTTTATGTTCAGGGTTCAATATGTAACGGATCCTGGTTGATATGCTCTTCCATCATACTAGTATGATGAGTACCTTTTCTCAAGAAGGCCCTGAAAAATGTGGGAGCACTATGAGCATTTGTCAACTCTCCTGTACACTATCATTAAATATTCTTACCAATATAGATGGTGGTTTTCACGACTAACCTCTCTTCGCTCTATACATTCTGTCCTTGACATCATGGCACTTTCTGGAGTACAAGTCATTGAAAATGACAGTCCCCATTAAATTTTTGAAAGTTCTCTTTGTGCTCTCCATATTAAAGCAGAGGGGTTGTCGCAAGAGTGTTCTTGAAACTTGAGTCCCAAGTGGCGTATACAACAGATTGTTTATTTACATCAAATTCGAAGACTCGTTGCGTGACTACCCCTCCGGTTTAAGACATACACATATGTAGCAAAGAAAAACATAGATCACGAGTGAAAGTAAAACAAATTGAGGTGAATGTCTGTTATTGCACTTGCTAAAATTGTTTAATGTTTGAGAAAATACAAGTCTGAGGATCGAAATGAGGCACTAAAATTACATTACCATACATCTCGCCATGGTGCCCTACAATAAACCTTTACATGGGGCTTACAATGTTAACATGCGTGTAATGACCGAATTTGAGATTCTGGGATAGGGAATACAGCAATTGCAACTCTTTTTAGTTCTGGACTAAAGTGGCTAATAGACCCTTTCTACAAGTCAAGCACTCTCTTGTGTTGAATAATAAGGTGAAGGCAGTGTCCTCAAATTTGCAGTTTTAATAAATATCACTTCAAAATAAATCGTTGAGTAAGCTAGGCCCAATTCAAAAATGTCTAAGCATGACCAAGTTATCACATTTTAAACAAACAAGATGGCCGCCAGCCGGCCATATTTGATCGAATTGACATGTACATGTATCCATCTATGACATGGTAAATGGGTGACAGAGATATACTATGGCCAAAAATAAACAGCCGTTATTCAGCCATCTTTGATCTGATTATGAAACAAACTGACATGTATGATGTATGTGCCAAATACGAATGAAAATGGTACAAGTCTTGGAAATATAGTAGTAAGGCCAAAAAGTCAGATGGCTGTCAATCGGCCATCTTTGATCCAATTGCGAAAGAAATTGACATGGACATTTTTCCTAACATGTATAATCTATGTACCAAATTTGACCAAAAAACAAGATGGCTGCCAGTTGGCCATTTTGAATCGAATCACTAAACCACTGCATGTGCACATGTTTCACATAAAGTACTACGGTAAGCACATTCAAAGAATGAGCAGAATTGGTCCAAAAGATTCTGAAATACGACTCCGGACAGACGGTCGGAGGACATGCATAATCTATGTACCAAATTTGAATGAAAACTGACAAAGCATGTCCAAAATGCAACATTTTCAAAAAACAAGATGGCTGCCAGTCGACCATTTTGAATCGAATCGCTAAACCACTGCATGTGCATATGTCCCACATAAAGTACTAGGCACATGCAAAGAATGAACAGAATCGGCCTAAAGGATTCTGAAATATGACTGCAAACGGAGACCGAATTATAAGTCCTCGTTTTCGCACTTTGTTCGAACGGGGACTAATAAAAATAACCCCCAAAAGTACCAGGATGAACGATATTCAAGGGTAACTGTTAAAAAACTTGACTACTAACAAATGTTGCTTTGAAACATCCCTTGATGTTTTATTATCTTTAAAATAGAAGTTAATACATTGAGGATTATAATTAAAAGATGATTGGGAGAATTCTCAAAGTCTGAAATGTTTTACAATGACTTGATCACTGTTCAGGGCATGAAGAGTGGGTTTGAAAGATGTACAGAATATTCAGATACCAGTATTTGGGTACCTCTAATCAACTCTTTATTTAACTGTGATGCATATTAATATTTTCTTTCAACTGCATTCCTGATATTACTTCAGTTTCCTACTCCAATTTGACTTGAAATGATGGCCGTCTCTTGTGCTGTTGAAATTAAACACTAGTCGTTATTCACATCACCAATCTTTGTCAGATTTCTCCATTTATCTTTCAAACTGACACCTGTCCGATGTGTATTAAACTCGAAACCATTTAAGATAGTGGCCCAGTTACCAGCTCCATAGAGCTTCACTCCCTTTTTCAAATTAGTTACTTCTTCCCTTGTCCACGGTATTTTCTTTTTTGTTAATATATCATCATTCATGAAAGTGAGCAAGTCTTTTCTGTTTCTTGAAACTGGTATAACATCGTTTATATTTGGTATACGCCGAGGTGCTATTAAAATAGAAAACAACATTTTATATTGCACAGATGGATGAAAACCAGACAATTTTTCCAACTCAAAAAAAATATAATGATATTTTTTACAAATAGAGGTTATTGCACAAGAATCCCAGTTGTATTTATAGGTTTACTAGGATTATCCTGCAATAACTATTTATCATGTATGTAGACATGTCAATTGGGGTTAATAAAGATGATTTTGTAGCAGATTTAATTATATGAATTTGCCTTCAAAAAAAATAATGCTATTGGGTTTGGATATAAAATTATTATTCAAAATCTGATGCTGTAGTTTTCACTGTTGAGTTTTCTATCAGTGCAAACAACTGTGTTTTCTTTTAGATGAGAACAAATAAAATATATTTTATATTCCCAACGCCCCATATTTTTATACAAATGAACCCAAAGTGATTTATTTCTTATGCAAATTAGTTGTAGTCATTCCACCATTGTATTTTTTTATAGTGTAATGTAGCAATAACCTGAAAGTACAAGCTCGAAAAATAAATTAGAATAAAGTAAGTTGTTTTTTTTTGCCTTATAAACACAAATTGTTGACTTATTGCTTGAAAATAAAGAGTTATCCTTGAGTCAGCATACCATGTTGACGTTTTGATTGATTACTGTAAAACATGTTGAAAAAGCGACATATTATTTTAGTGAATTGTGGTAAAATGACGTAATAACGGGATGTTGTAATAAGGAAGCTCTCCAAATTATTAACGTTTTCTGTGTTGTTTACAAAGTGTGTGTGTGTCGAAAAAAACATGTTTTACAGTATATTGTGAAACGATTACCAGGGTGTCAGTTTTCTGTTTGTATCATATCAAAATACGTTACTCTCGTTAATAAATTCCTGCTTAATATTTAATTTGTAGTCAAAATTTGAACTGTTTTTTTTTTAAATGTGAAAAAAAAACAAAACAACAACTGTATTTCAAGTTAAGCAAGACATATCCTGTATTTATCAACTTTACTTACGAGTTGAGACGTCAGAGTCTGAATCTGTCCATGTAACTGGCTCGCCACAAGGCTGTGAGTAAAGCTGACGGTTTCGAGACGATGCATACCGATGTTTTCTGATAAAGCTAACAAAGAACACAAAGAGAAAAAACATTCTATCAATCCTGATAATTTTAGTGGTTATAAACCGATTGATAAAGATATTCAATGGAATTTATTCATGTTTTCATAGTAAATGCTACACCCCGATGAAGCCCAATACCATACCTGTGAGGACTATTAGGCCTTGGACTGCTGCTACTACCAGCCCCATCTTCCCCTCTACTGTTACACATCTTGCTTGGAGATTTAGCTGAAATTAAAAAAAAATTATTATATTCATTAAAGCCCTTGAAATGGCATTCCTTACTGTGCCCTTGAGGCCGGTCCACCCCAGTTAACAAGGTTCATAATTTATTAACCCAGGATCAAATGTTCTCGACAAATATGACATTTTACTGGAAAGATTATTCTTGTATACAGAGTAGGGGAACAATTTATGGTAGTATTTCGTTCTTTATTCACTGACCAGGGCCTATATTCAGTCATGTGAGCGTTTATTAAAGTCACATGGCAAGTATGTCATTACCTGTTTCTGTGATGTCATCAGTAACTTCCATATTTTCAACAACTTTATTTGCTGGACTGTGCATCTAAAAATAGAATCATAGCTTTAAAAAAAAAAAATAGGTAGCATTGCCACCACAATGAATCTACTTTGGAAAATAATCATGCCTATATAATTTTTTGACGAAAATTATTAAATAACAGATGCGGATCTTAGTATTATATGAACAAATATATGAGCACCACCCCAGGTAACTGAAATAAATGTAGAATATTGGATTACAGATGTTGAAAACTAAAGATATACTTTCCAATATATCTAGTGACATTATGTTTCAGTACAGTGAAACGCCCTCTGGAGACAGATACATACCTTTTTTGACTTGTTTGGGGACTTGTTTGGAGACTTGTTTGGGGACTTGTTTGGGGACTTTTTCTCCCGTCTTATCATAGCTTCCTGAAACAAAAAAAAAGTGGGAATTCACAAATTGATATGTACATTGTACTTTTTCTTATTTTAAAAAATATGATCAACTATGTGTCATGTACCAGAGTGGAATCAATGGTCACAATCGTTCTGTTAAAAGCGTTTGTAATTTATATATAAAATGAACTCTTAGAAAAGATAGCATACATAATCAGAGTAAATCCTATCTAAACAAATGTTGCAGCGTTAGTGTAGGCTGGCATTAATCATAATACAACTGCCTGTGTCTATATTTTACATTCAGAAGAACCCCAGCTAGGTGAACGAACTACTGTTCTGCAAGTTACAAACTCAGACCATAGTCTGAACTTGTCGCTAAAATTATACCCCACACTATCCTTGTAACAAAGCTTGAAATTGACAATGGCATCACAGACATTGTATGATGCCCTCTGATATTCCCTGTATTATTCCTGTACACTAAAGTTCATTTTATTAATTTGAAAATGAGTGCCCCCCTCTTAACTCTGAAGTTTAAGCCCTGTAATCAATTTACAGTGATTTTAATAACAGGATCTGCATTGCAACCCTGACTGAGATAATGTCTGATAAGAGCTGCTACTAAAATAAACAACGCATGTACAAATCATGTGTACTCAGTGGTTTGGTAGAGAGGGGATTACATGCAGAATGGAATTCATGTCCATTCTCACTCGTTTGCTACGTTCACACGATAGCATTTTATCGGAGCCCAACCGCTCGAGCCAGCAAAAATGGCCGTGTGAACGCGTTCGGCTCGAGCATTTCATCCCAAAGTCCAGCATTTCACCACTGCTAGTTTTGCTTATTATCCAAATTTTTAAGAAAAGACATCACAAATGTTGACTACCGTAAAATCTGTATTAGAAGCTGCATCCCTAATAGAAGTCGCACCCATTCTTTTTTGAATAATTGAGAACAAAAAATTCATCATTTCTCATATGTGTAGATGCTCTGATAGAAGCCGCATTCCCTCTGTTGCATTGTACCATTTTAATAGAAGCCGCGGCTTCTAATACAGATTTTACAGTAAGCCTAAATTTTGTAAAACTGACTTTGACATTATAATACACAAGATACAGCTGAAACTTGTGCATATGTGAAAAACACACCAGTATCAGTCCTCCAATCATAACTCAAAGTTATGTATATACCAACCTTAATGGCAGCCATAGTGTCATGCTCATGGTTTCGTATTTTTTTCCATTCAGAGACATCATCTGTAAACATCATCAATGTTTTTTTTAATTCATCAGCTGAAATAACTGATATTTCATCTCTTTGAG